TACCCAGAGTACTCTGTGTTAAGTGGCACCAAAGAGGTTCTGAAGGGTTTGGATAAAGGGTAAGATTTACTTTTTGGGTTTTTTTTCATTTTTTGTTTGTTTCTTTTGTTTTTAATCAATTGTGGGGAAATTTCTGTATTTCAGAATTTGCATTTCAGGTATTGTTTCAGTTTATTTCTTGGTTTATTTTCTAAAAATACTGTGATGCTTTGCTTTCAGAAGCATTCTTCATGCTCTTTTTCAATCCTTTCCATGCTTCCCCTCAAGGAGGAACAAAAAACTAAGGATTTACTCCAAAATAAGGATTTTTCAATTTATTATTTTATTATTACCATTTAGAAATAAAATTGCTAAGTGAGAGATGCTGTATTTCCTAAGAAGCTCCTTCAGCATGACAATTTTTTTTTTTTTTAAAGAGAGAGTCAGATTTTGTTCCAAGCACAAGAAATTATTCACAGCACAGAAAACCCTCCCCCAAAAATAAATGTCCCTGAGTTTTGGTGGGCATCACTTTGAATGGGAAGAGCAACAATAGCTGGGAAACCTAAATTTAAAAAAAAAAAAAAAAAGATACATGACAAAATTGTAATCTGTAATTCAAACCAGATTGTGGAAATTTATGATAATGGCTTCATAGCAATTCAAACAATGAAACAATTCAATTTCAGAAGGGCAATAATGAATTTTTTATTGGCAGAGGAGTCCCTAGTTCTTATATGTAGCTCACTAGGTCAGTCTCAGCAGCAAATAGGACAATGATGCATTGATAAAAACTCATCATTATCCTCATTGGGTAGAAAGAAAATGGTGTTTTTACAGGTCTAGGCCCATTTTCACAGCAAGAAATCACCTTATCTCATTAAAAATACATTAGCACTTTGTTTATCTGCTCAGGAAGAACGGCTTTAATGAGATTCATCTTAAATTACTGTTTTGAGAGAAACAGCATATTAGATAGTACACACATATTTCAGCACATATGCAATAAACAAAAAAAAACCCCTTCAACCAAAGGAAAAAAACACATAGTACACTACAAATTAAGAGGCAGAAATCACTACCTTGTGGCTTTTACTCCCAATTGTGCCTGTAGAATTTGTTCTAATATGCCACTCTTGGAGCTGGGAGTTTCCCCATGTGTATACACTTCAATAGACTTGGCTTTTTTGACCCCATATCTGCTGGCTGATAGTGAATTCCACAATAACCCTCTCCCAGCCCTGGCTCCAAGCTCTTTGCCCTTCCTGTGCTCTGCCAGCATCACTGCAGGGCCTTTTCTCTTCAAACACTCAAGTCATGGCTGTTTTATTAGAGCTGGAAATGAAAAGTGTGACTTCTCCCAAGGGATGCTGCAGGAAAAAGTCTTCCCAAGGAATTGGACTTTTTGCTCTTTCCTGCAGAACTCTGCTGACTCCTGTCACAACCCCAGCTGCCAAAAAGTGACCAGGCAGGGGCTCAACTCAGAAATTCCTACAGCTTTATCATACCGTGATACTGAAAACATTCAATTTGCTGCTGATGTTCTTTTGGAAGAAAAACCAAGAGATCAAGGAGAGAGCATGAGGGAAGGGATTGAATGTGATGATCAAGGTTAATGCAGAACTTTAACAGAAGGTCAATCCTCTGTTGAGTGTGGAAGGTAGTAAACTGAATTGTAAACTTGCCCACAATGGCTTAATAATGCATTTGGTTCTTTCTAGGAGGGATGTGATTTTCCTGGCGTGCTGCTACTTCATGATTCTGCATCAGCAAGTAAAATGGCACAGCAATTTTATGAGATGTGTGGCTTGCAGATGTTTTCTCTAAATTTACATTCTTTGACACGTGGCATCACAGCAATGTGCAGTTAAAGAAGTCAAAATTTCACCTAAGTCATCATTTTTTCTTCATATGCTAATTTAGATGTAGTGGAAAAAAAGTTATAGTTTTGTTCATAAAGTGAACATTTTTAACAGTATGTGGAGATCATTAAGGTATTTCAGGTAAAGGCTGTTTTAATTTTACACATTCCAGAAAAATAACAAATTGTGGAAATCTTTGTGACCACCTTAATTTCAAAATATCCAATCATCAATGAAGCTACCTCACCACATACCTAAAAATAGAATTCTGTATTCCTTAGGCTGCCAGCCAAATCCATATGGTGAAAGGTGAAGCACAATAAAATGTAATAGAAAGCAGATTGGAGCGGGTAGTATGGCTGCTAGCAGCCAAATTCCTGAGTAGACCTAGGATCTTGTACCTTCAGGCTCAGTCACGTGCTGTGGTGCTGTTTGCAGACCCTAGTGTAGGTAATTAAGGATGTTGAGTAAGTGGTAGAAACTTTGGGGCAGTTCGATTGCTGCTGCTTGTCACAAGATTCACAACTCTGTTCAGCAAAAATTAGATTGAACACGAGCTGTACCTTCATTTATGCCAAAATAACACCAAGCACGTAGTTATAATAGGAAAGAAAGGAATTATTCTTAAGAAACACTGAGCACTGTGTTCTTCCAATAAATACTTCTGCTCTGAGAAGGATGATCACAAATATTTGTTAAATTATCAGAGGAAAAGTCATTTTAGTTCTTTTCCCATCTACTGCTGCTCCTGAAATCCAGGAGCAGTGCCTCTTTACGCTTTGCTTGCAAAAAGCACCTCCTCTTCCTTGCTCCATATGTTTTGGCTTGAATACAGTAGGGTTTTGTTTTATCAAGAACGCTCTTGGCACAGTCTGCCCTGCCCCTGATGCTTCCTGACCCTGACTCTGGAATAAATTTCTATTTGTTTTCCTCTGCCCTGTCTCCCAGCCCTGTTAAATTCAATCTTGACACACTTCATTCAGGTATTTAGGGCAAATTTGGTAAAGGTCCTAGATATCTAGGCTATAAATGAGAATTTAAATGCCCACATCTAAACCCATTGCTTATGTGCTTTTTTCAGTTCTCTTTCTGAGTTTCTTTTCCAGAAATACTTTGATGCTGTGCTTTGAGAAACACTCTTCATTATCTTTTTCAATCCTTTCTATGCTTCCCTCAAAAACAAGGATTCTATGATTACTATTTTATTATTACCTTTTAGAAATAAAATTGCTGAGTGAGAGATTCCATACCTCCTTAAGAAGCTTCTTCAACATGACGGAATGAATGTTTTTATTCAGAAAGAGTCATGAGGAGCCTCACAAGGATCAAAGATGACAAGTTGCCTATCTGGAAGGACACAAACCCGGCCGTAGTGTGGGTTGCTGTTTGTGCATGCATTTTGCACACACACACAGAGTCTCTGCAGAAAACAGGAAAGCAAGGATAAGAAATCCAAGGCTGCCACTGTCAGGAGCACGTCCCGGCCACCAGCCATTGCAATGGTGAGTAAAATCCACCCCCACTCTCTGACATGTGCAAACTGTAGGCACCTGACTGCACCTCAATCCCTAGGGTTTGGACCATGTTTGTGAAAAAGTCAATAAGAATAAGGAGAGACTGTAAGTAGAGAGAGGTTTCCAAGTTCAGGGGGAAAAAAATTAATTTCATTTGCCCACTATGAGATGTGCTGTGTTCTACAAAAATATTTGACTTATAGAATAGTAAGAATATAGTAGGAATTCTCTATTTCTACTAGAAACCATATAAAGGAATATTAGAAAACTTCTGAAGCAAAATCTGTTCCTCATCCTTTCAACTTAGACAATGAAAACAAAATTCATCTGGGTTGCTAAAAATCAAAGTCAACACTGTTTACTTTCAAACTCACTGGTATCATATAAAAGCTTTTTATCACTAGGAGCTTCCTGAGCACTTAAAACTGCTCACTTACAGAGAATACAATGTTAATTTAATGGAGCTAGGAGTTCCTTTGAGAAAACAATTTTATTTGCTTCAGTATTTATTTAAAACATTATGCTAACATTATTGGACTACACAAACCAGAAATATTACTAGTATAATACTATTAAAATAGCATGAAAAAATAAACATAGTCTTCTTCTGTACTTTTAAATATTTTAATAGAAAAATAAACAATATAATTAATTAAAAATATAAACATATATAATAATGACTATAAAGTAGATAATGATATAAGAATATATAATATATAAAAATAAATCATATCAAAAGTAACACAGAAGTACAGTATTTAGATTGCAAAATGCAAAAACAAGTTTCTAGTGCTCACTTGCAATGGGCAATTAGAAGTCAGTCTCTATTTACATTAAATGCAATTTCCATGTGGTAAATTCATAACTTTTTCTTGTAAAATAAGGCAGCTTTAAGAGTTTGGAAGTCTCAACAATTTATGTGATTCTGATTTCTATGCAAAGATAATTAGAACTTTATTTTTTATGTTTTCTAAAGATTTGCATCATTATAATTAAAAAGTTATAGTATTTTATCACCTTATGATTTTTGCATATTTTAAAATCTGTCTGCATTTGTTTAGTTATCTGTTATGGCTTCTTATATTCCTGAATTTAGAGTGTTGGCTTCTACCATTGGAATGAACTTTTTCCTCTCGAAAAAAAAAGGGGAGAGTTGTATGGATATAAAGGAGATATAAAGACCTTGAAAATATCTAGAAGACACCAAGTTCACGTGTTGGGGTTTTACAAAAGTATTCCTGCAGTTTTGAAGACATTTGAAGCCAGGCTGTGACCTTCAGGTTGTAGGAATGTAAAGAATTCATGTTCCATTTGTTATTTCTGCTTTGACAGTACTGTTTCCCCTGTCATTATGGCTATAAAACTGGCTCTTTGCTAGCATAAAAAGATTTTAGTTTTCCAGCACAGCCTTGAAATGAACTCCATGTTATGTAGATCGTCTCCTACACAACCTGCCTTTCTGGAGCTTTTTAGGAGCAAGGAATTGGATGGTCCTTTCAGGTCTTCATGTGCAAGGGTACAGTCATGTTAAAGGCATCCCTATGGGTCACTCCCTTCCTGTTGAAGGAGCTGACTTCCTCCTGCTCTGGATCAGCACGTGCTGGTTGATGACACGAATCACTCTTCTGAAGTTGCCCTGTTTTTCCTTCTCATTCTCAGGGCGCACACGGACCACCTTTGACACGTTTACAAACGTTTTCCTGGGCAGGAGTCATCCTTTCTGCTCCCAGCTCCACTCCCAGCACTTTGAGATCCAGCGGCAGAATCCCATCTGCAATTGACAGGAGAGGTTTTATTTGCAATGAGCCTTTCACTCTTCCAAGCAGTCACAGCTTGCTCAGGCCCCTGTGCTGGGCCCACCCATGGCGTGTCAAGGGCTGCCCAAGGAGACTTCACAGAATCACAGAATCTCTAGGTTGGAAGGGACCTTTAAGATCGAGTCCAACCCATGTTCTAATACCTCGACTAGGTCATGGCACCAAGTGCCACATCCAGTCTTTTTTTAAACACATCCAGGGATGGTGACTCCACCACCTCCCTGGGCAGATGATTCCAGTAGGGCACACTGGTGGCTCATGTTCAGCCGACTGTCAACCAGCACCCCCAGGTCCCTTTCCACCTGAGCACTGTCCAGCCACACCGGCCCCAGCCTATAACGTTGCAGGGGTTATTGTGGCCAAAGTGCAGGACTCGGCACTTGGACTTATTAAACTTCATGCCGTTGGACTCTGCCCATCCATCCAACTGTTCCAAGTCCCTCTGCAGAGCCCTCCATCCCTCTAACAGATCCACACATGCTCCCAGCTTAGTGTCACCTGCAAATTTACTGATGGAAGACTAAACCCTCATCCATATCATCAATAAAAATATTAAATAGAACTGGCCCCAGTACAGACCCCTGAGGGACACCACTGGTGACTGGCCTCCAGCTGGATGCAGCACCATTCACAACCACTCTCTGGGCCCGGCCATGCAGCCAGTTCTGAACCCAGCACAGAGTGCTCTTGTCCAAGCCACAGGCTGCCAGTTTATCAAGGAGTATGCTGTGGGAGACAGTGTCAAAGGCCTTGCTGAAATCCAAATAAACAACATCTACAGCCTTCCCTGCATCCACTAGGCTGGTTACCTGGTCATAAAAGGTGAGCAGGTTGGTTAAACATGACCTACCTCTCCTAAACCCATGCTGACTGGGCCTGATACCCTGGCCATCCTGTCTTCCGCTGTTTCTCTTACCCCGGCCGTGCCCTCAGCGTTCCGCTGTTTCTCTTACCCCGGCCGTGCCCTCACCGCTCCCGGTCTCCGCCGCACCCACTGCCAGCCACCGGCCGCGGAATTCAAACAGCGGGCCGGCCGCGCTCCTCGCCTCCTCATTGGCTGAGCGCCGTGGCGTCAGCAGAGCGCCGGCGCCAGCGGTGAGTGCGTGGGGCCGTGCGCGGGGTTCGCGGGGAGGCCGGGAGGGGAAGGGGAGCACGGAGGGAAGGGAGGGCAGGGGCACTCCCGGGAGCACGGAGGGAAGGGAGGCCGGCGGGGCAGGGGGCACTGCCGGGAGCACGGAGGGAAGGGAGGCCGGCGGGGCAGGGGCACTCCCGGGAGCACGGAGGCAAGGGAGGCCGGCGGGGCAGGGGGCACTGCCGGGAGCACGGAGGGAAGGGAGGCCGGCGGGGCAGGGGCACTGCCGGGAGCACGGAGGGAAGGGAGGCCGGCGGGGCAGGGGCACTCCCGGGCTGACGGGCGAGAGGGCGGCTCTGGCCCCGCTCTGGCCCCTGCGGCCGCCGCTGCCCGAAGTCCCCCGGGTGCGTTTCTGCCCTCGCTGCCCTGGGTTCGGCTCCGCGCGGGGCCGGGCCCCGCTGGAGGCGGCGGCCTGCAGCCGTGCCCGCTGCCCCTCCGGGCGAGCGCGGTGTAAAACGGAATAAAACACAACCCGCGCGCCCTGGTGAGGAGGAATCTCCGGGCGTGCGGAGCAGGGGCCGGAGCAGAGCCCCTGGCGTGCCCCGGGGCACGGCCGGGCTCGGCCGCTGCTCGCCCTCAGCAGCGGGGCCGGCACAGGAGGGGAAGGGAGAAAGGCACAGACCCGGCTGGAGGGAGAGAGCTCGGCAGCCGAGGCGGGAGCTGGGCACGGCAGCCGGGCACGGGGAATGCCTTCCCGTGGGGCAGCCGGCCCCGGGAGAGCAGGGCCCGGCCCGGGGCCAGTCCATGTCCCTGGAACGCGGTGCCGCCAGCCCATCCTGCTCTGCCCCCTTCCCTCTGCAGCCCTCGGGGCACCCGGCCCGGCCGTGTCTGCGCCCTGCCGTGCTCAGCAGGAGCCCAGAGCAGCCCCTGGGGAGGAAAGGAGCCCCACTGCAGAGCACACCGCGGGGATACACGGCTTTCTGCAGGCGCGCCTGGTGTGCTGCAGAACGCACCTCTCAAAGTCACAGGGATGTGCACTTGCAGATTTAAAGGCCGGGAATTACGGCCTAGTTGAAGCCTAAACGATCACGAGAGTAGCTTTCTCAGCGTATCCTTATGCAGGCAAAATATTGGTAGCCTCTGGCAAAGGAAATTTGACACAAGCCTATATTAAAATCTGATAGTGGAAAGAATCTGCTTGCTGTTGGAACACAATTGGTTTGTAGATAATCTTGAAAGTTCTGAGAACGTTTTGCTGGCATGACATATCTATAAAGCTGCCCAGCTTGGAGTGTGTATAGCTTTGCCTGTAGTGTTTCCCCTAAGTTATTTAAACAAATACACTATTTGAGATATTTGTTTGAAAGTAACTCCCAACATCTGCTCTTCTAGGCTGACCAACTCTAGAATGTTACCTCAAAATCTGTGCCAAGTTTACAAATGTTTGTTTCTGCGTAACTTGAAACTGAATTCAGTACGTGTGGCTGGTTTGGCCAGAAGGATCCATTCTTCATCAGAAAAGCTTTCTGACGCTGAGTCAGAGGAACAAACTGTCCTGAAATGTGAAACTGAAGAGCTGCCTCAAAACACAGAAAACGTTAATTCTGGAAGATTGCACATACCAGTGATGCTGGAGGAGGTTGTTCATTGTTTATCCCCTCAGCCAGGTCAGGTGAGTTAAACGATTAATTGACATTTGTGGTCCCTTAACAGTGCAACAGAAAAATGGAGTGTAGGGGTGATTTTTGTTTAGAGGAATAAAGGGATGCTCTTAAACAATCAGCTGTATCTTTCAAAGGTTTTCAGTTGTTTTGAAGTTCAAATTAAAACTCTGTATTCAAACTAATAAAATTCTGGTGTCTGTGTGTCTGAATCCCCAGGTCGGTGGTGTTTATTAAAACTGTCCTATTTCACTATTCTCTTGCTTTTGTGCTTGTCTTTTTGAGTTGCACTTGTGTATTCTTAAGGTTATGTTAATGACTCAGAGGGGAGTGCTTATGTGTGGTTATCTCATCAGTTTTTGAAAAGCCCTCTTCCTCTTGGGTAAGAGATAGTAAGTATGTAGGTTTTAAAAATTGTTTAGCTTCATTAGCATGGAGAACTGGTTCAAGCCTTCTGGTTTGGGTATGGTACTGTGAGTGGTTTGCTTTTGGTGTCTGTAGTAGTAAATGGTTACACATGTCCTTGAAAAAAATGGCACACAGGGAAATGGTTTTTGTAGTATGAATTTGAAAGGATTTTTTGAATAATGTAAGTTCTTAAGTAATGCTCACATTTCAGGTACTTCAATCTGTGGTTTTAGTGCTTATGTTAGCTTCATAGAATCTTACTAGTTAAGGCTTGTGTATGTGTTGTTTTACTACAGAAACTGAAACAATAGGCAAAGTAGAAAGATCAAAGTACGTGTATGCTTTTATTTTTATTTGAGAACAGCCCCATCCAACTGTGACAAAGTGATACAGCAAGTTTGAAGTGGATTCAGTGGTCAAAAATGTGCAGTCAAATCTTGTGTTGTCTTGTGTATCATTTTAAATCTTTGAAAAAGCAGTGAAAATGCAAATACTGTTGATAAACATTAGCATAAAAATTGCTCTAATTGCCTGTGTTGTACTGTTGAAGATAGGTATTTCTCTAATTTAGGTAAGGAAGTTGGAGTTCAGGTTTTTTCTGATGTCAGAACTATGATGACATTTTCACGCATTAAATGAACATACGAACTGTGATACACTATGTGAAATATTTTTTCTAGTTGGGTAAGTTTTTACTTGCATAAGAAGAGCCCGAGGAAGTCAGTGTCTATTAGACTCTCTTTGTTGATGTAGAAAAATCTTACTTGGCAATGGAATTTGTAAAAGAAACTGTTCAAGGGTATGCACTGTGAAGAGTAACTATTACTGCCCCAGAAGACTTTTTCTAATTTAAATATTTATGGTTGTAAAATAGTTTTATTGGGGTGGGATTTTTTTCAGGTCTGTGTATACCTGGATTTTCAGATTCCCAAGCTGGTGGTGAACCACTGACTGCTATAAGATAGCCCAAGTGTGTTTACCTCCAACAAAAGCATTCGTAATCTACTCCCAACCTGTTCAGCATGACTGAGGCTGTAAACTGTTCAGCACTTCTATTTTTCTGTTTGTATTCACAGCACTTTCTGAAGCCTTGACAAATAAGTAGTGTGCAAAAGGATGCAGTGTGTCAACTGAGTTTTGGCTAGTGTGAGCCCAAGGCTGAACAGAGGATGAGACAGTTCCTCACTAACCTGAGTGGTGGTCATCAGTTTGTACTGACATGCATGTCATCTGGGAGTGTCATATAAATTTACATTTTTAAGAATGTAGTCAGGACAGTAAGTCTATGAACACTTTGTTTTGTGGGCAGGAAAGGCAGTGCTCAGATCTTGAATTCAGTTTTTCTGCTTTATTCTCTCCCCACACATAAAGATCTTTGCTCGGCTTTAGTAGAGTTATATTCTTTGTTATAAAATAGCTGATTTGGGCCTCTATTTCTTCTTGTGTCTTAAGACAAGGAGCTATCAATGTAAAAAAAATCTAATTAGAAAGATGATGTTCTCCCTATAGTTATGGTCACTGAATGGGATTTTCATTTTACTTGTAGAGGTTCTTATGAAAGGAAATGTTACTTAAGAATGAGTCACCGCTGAAATAAAGATGTTAGTGCCCTCCCACTGAATATTCTTGTTGACTGTCTCCTTTGGGGAATCTGTTTGTCAGAGTTGGAGCAATAATATTTCCATTTATCTCTGAATCTTCTTTTATTGTCTTGTTTCGCACAGTCCCTGTAGTAGTCCTGTCTTTGAAGCAAGGACTGCCAATTAAATTTTACCAATCTACCTCACTGCTCAATGAAATGTCTGTTGCACTAAGTCCACACATAAGTAATTTCCTCTTTAAGTTTACTGTATTGATTACATTTTAATCTTCTCAGTCCATGAGTGTTGTTTGTAAATACCTCACCACTGTTTTTGCAGTTGTCTGGACAATTCTCTGTTCTCTTAAAGAACCAAACCTATTTTGAATCAATGTTTGGACATCCAGCAGTATGTTTCCTCAGTTTTCAGCCTACTTTTTCCTATTTTTTTTCCTTTGCAATGCTCACATTTATTTTAGCTAGAGATGTGGGTCTTTTTCATGTACTGTGGCTATAATGTGAGTAAAACAATTTCAATAGCAGGGAGTTCTAGTATGATGCCAGAGGATGAAACTGAAATTTTAACTGTTCTTATGAGAATCTTAAGGGTTTTTGAGGAAATGATAGTGCTCCACCACCACCAAATCCTTCTATATATAAACTTTAAACTCCAGCTAGAAAAGAAGCAAATATTATGCCCTACTCAGATTATATGGGGAAACGTGTAACCTGATGACATGGGTGGTTTTATGTGAGTGATTTCATCTGTGGTTGAGTATGATCCAGAAGTAACTGTAATGAATGTACTATAAGCTCTGGTAGTATTATTTGGTTTATGATAGTTCTTGAAGCTGGGATTTTTTACTATCTGTAAGTTAAATGGTAGGTGGTCAAACTTGAGGTGAGAAATAATGAATGAGACTTTTCCATTTTCTACAGTGTTTAAATGGTTTATCAGAAGCCATTAATAGATTACTTTTTACCTCATGATGTTATTTGTCTATAAAAAAAGAAGGCAGGTAATTTTCCCCAAAGAGATCTCATCTGACATCATCTTGAGTTTGCCAGGACTTCTTGTGGATATTTCTCTTTTGATTCTCCATGATATTATTGAGATTGGTTTTGCTACTTGGCATTCATTGAAGAAGGAGGTATCCTCTTTGTCTTGGAAATCGTGTGTTAGTCCATGTGTTACTCCATGTACTGTTTCTTTTTCTTGGAAATCATGTGTTGGTTTCTAGAGACAAGTACTTCCTGAGAGCATGCAG